GGGGATTTAAAAATCAAAACATTTACCTTCTTATGTCACTGACAATGTATCCTCCTAAAAAGACATCAGAGTAAAAAAAAAAAAACCCTTATCAATTAATAACAGAGAGGGAGAATGAGATTAAGAGGTATCAGCACAGGATGAAAGAGTTAAATGGAGGTGTAGAGACAAGAGACACTTTTCAGTGATAGACGATAAGTCTCTGGTATGAAGAGGGATAAGCACAACAGAGTAAGCTTAGAAAGGAAAGAAAAGTCAACAAAGTAGGCTGAGCCAAGGCAATTTTAGGGCAGCTTTCAGCCAGCCCCTACATGAATGGAGAGCCACCAAAGCTGAGTATTTGGTGGGGATAATTAGCATTTTTATGCTTCTTTGAAAACCACAGATGAAAAGCAGGAAGCAGCAGCATTCTGAACATACAAGAGACAAAATCTTCAAGTACAGTCCCCACTTGAGAAAGAGCCAAAATGCAAATTAAGAATACAGATGTCAACTTTCTGAAGTTTGAGGTGTAAATCTCTGATTTTGGTTTGTATGCAGCTCTCAAAGTTTTAGCAATTTGTATGCCAAACCAGGACAGAGTGAAGGGAAAATAACTCATTTTCCCATATTATCAACAGTCCTAAAAGTGGTCTGAAAAATATCTGGGAGCAGCAGCTTTGGTAAAAGTGCTTAAAATACACCTCATCAGTAACCCAGGGCAATTTTTACCATCTTTTTTCTAGGTCAGCCATCCCCTTGCAACACAATTCATTGTAAGCACTGACCGCCACAGCTCCAAATCCAACTGACATCAATCTACAATATATTTGGCAGAGTTTGTCCATCAGTTTGTTCATGAACTCCTTCTAAATGGTAAAAGCTAGGACCTCTTATAACTTAAAGCAAGGTAAGGGTTTGGTTGTGTGTGGGGGGGGCTGTGCATGAAACCATGCAGAAAGGGGACTGTTTGTATGGAAAAATTGCTGGCTCTTCCCCTTTATCAGGGAGTGAGGGGAAAATGCACAGTTTGCTCCATTCCTCAATCTGGAGGGGGAGCACAGGTGGCAGACAAACCTGAACCTGCCCCAGTCAGGGGACATGCACCCGTGCCCACTGGAAGTGCAGCGGCCATGGAGTGGTGCTTCTCATCTGGCCCCAAGCTGCTGTGGTGAGAGGGCTGGGGAAGTCCTCTCTCCCCTCGGCAGCCTGCAAACTGAATCCCTCATCCCCAGCCCCACCCCAGAACAATTATTCAAATGAAAAAAAAATAATTTCAGTTAAGTAACATATTTATGAGTTGTAACAATTTCTGGAAACTGGATTTTACTGTTCAATCTCAATAATATGCATAAAATAAAATCCATCAGAAAGCATTAATAAAATGAGCCAACACAGGCTAAATGCTAAAAACTTGGTCCATTGTTGCTACTGAACCAGTCACCCATAGACAGTTCTGCCTGTAGAAAAGATGCATTTCCTACATAGCTTTTCACTGTCGCTGTTTAATAAATAAAATATTAAAGGTAATGTGTTATACATCAACACACACATATGCCTCCTGCTATCAGGTGTCCAAAGAAAACAATCTGTTCTGAATAATGTATTCCTCCTGAATCATCAACTATCTTAAACCAATGCAGGAAAAGAACTTCAAAAGTTTCATCAAATATATCATCATCATTTTTATGTCAGTCTGCCACTTAGCAGGTAGGACTTTTTTCTACCACTAACATTTGTACTTTCTTGATCACAGTAACAAAAGTATTACAGATTCCAAATTTACTCAAGATAAGAATGCAACAATGAGCATTTAAGAATAAAATCCCATAAAGAGATCAGTGAAAAAAACTACAAAGCTATTGTAATCCTAACCCAAAGATTCAGTGAAGGAATATTTAAAAACATATACAGAGTTTAACTCAAATGTGACCAGTTGATGAAAAACCCAATTAAGCAATGTTCGGTTGCTCATTCATTAAGCACCAAATTCAATATATTTATTCTAGGGCTGTAAATGATAGAAAAAAATAAAACTTGAATAATCTCTATTAGCAAATAATAAAAAAATCAATTTATATTTATTATAAATATTTTTGATGTTTTTCTACAATTTCAAATATATCGCTTTCAATTTGCACTGTAAAAGAGAGAAAGAAAAAAATAGTATTTTTCAATTTACCTCTTACAAGTACAAGTGTAGTGAAAGTGCAACTTACAAACACGTATAACTATTATTATTATTATTTTAAATAACTGCTCTCAAAATCTAAAGCTTACTAGTTGAAGCATGAAGGGGCACACTCATGTTTAGCCTATCTAGCAAGTAAATACCTTACAACACCAGCAACAGCAGTGCCATGGGAATGGCTGTTCTCACTTTCAGGTGGCAATGTAAACAAGAAGTAGGCAGCAGTGTCTCCCGTAAATGTAAATAAACTTTTTGTCTTAGCAACTGGCTGAACAAGAAGTAGGACCAAGTGTATTTGTGTGTGTTGAACTGAAAAATACTATTTATTTTTGTGATGACCCCTCTTCCATGCCTGGTTTATGAGAATGGGCTAGTGAATATAAATATGAGTAACTCAAAGATGCTTTAGATAAAATACTACATGTAACCTATCAATTTTCACGTTACAATCTGTTGAATGTGTATATCCTATTTTTGTGCATGTACATTCTTGTATGTGAAGTTAGAAATATGAAGTGTGGATTTGTTTCCAGGGTGTTGAGCTTTTACAGCTGACTATTTGGTAGGGCTAACTAATATTTTTATGCTTCTTTGAAAACCATACATGAAAAACAGGCAGCAGCAACTGAACTGGTCCAAGAGCTGAAATGGTCCAGGGGACAGTAACCCCTAATCTGTGTCTTGTCTAGGGGATATCAGAGGATCCAGGCCAGCAGGCCAAGGTGCTGGGGAGCCCCAGAAAGCAGGAATATAGGTGACAATGGCATGATCTGTACACTGGGGGGGACAGCCCACAGGGACTTCTATGATTTTAATCTACCACTTTTATTTCTTTTTTATAGTGCAAGTATTTATAATAAAAATTAATCATATAAAGTGAGCACTGTACACTTTAATTTCAATTACAACACAGAATACAATGTATTCCGATTGAATAGTCCCTTAAGTCAGTGGATGCATCAGATTTTGACCTTAATATAAAGTAAAAGAGACTTTACTGGATGCTAGTTTAGAAAAATTGTAGTTGGAAATATTTTCCTAGTCCAGTCTTATTCCATATTTCAAATATGCTAAAGCTTGCTAAAATAATTCAAGTGAGTCATAAAATATTATGAAATGCTGATGACATAATGGAATCCTTTTGCTCTAATTTTTAAAGATAGTAATCACATTTCCATTTTCCTGTTACTTTTTTCCTGCTGCATCATGTTTCCTTTGCCTGACCCCCTCAAAAGTGTTTGTACATTAATTTGTCGTTATGATTGAAATCAAGAAAAAAAATTCCAAGCTCTTACACATTATAGTGATGGTCACTTTAGAAATGCATAGAATGTCTACCACCTCACATGGGAGGGGCTGTGTTGAAAATGTACAAGAAACCTGGACAAATAAGATGAGATTTGAACACACATAGTCTTTCACATAAAATGACATTCCTTAAGCAAAGTGAATGCTGCTTCATTAGGATTTTCATCCACTCTGTTTGCACACCTTCCAGCCACATTGTGATCTCAGTTAAAACTGTCAGTGGGTAATAAGGGCAGATGAAATGGGGTAAAACTTGGCTTTGCATACTTAGCATATATTTGGTTATGCTTTAAAGTAATATTTGGATTTTTTCTAATTTTGTACTAAGTGGAGAGTGAATCATAGGATGCCATTGCCAAATATAGGAATTGTTACAAACTACTAACAATGCTGTTAAAGTAAAACATTCCAGGGGTTGCAAAAATGTTGTGAAGGAAGAGATGCCAAGTTTAAAACCATATCTTAATCAGAAGAAAATAGAAATTCATAATGGGAAAACATATTATTTGGTTATCTGTATAACTGAATTATAAATGCTTAAAAAAATGAGCTGCAGATTTTAAAAATTGAGAATCCAAGCTCAGGTTTCCTGCCACTAGTGGAAGAAGTCATCTCTGTCAAACAGATCATGACTACACAGTGTATGAGTTACAATGAGAAAATTTCAAACAGAACTTTCTGATTGGTCTTTACATTATGCATCAACTTGGGTCACCGCTGGAAATTGGAGGGTGTGATGGGGAGGAGTAGTGGCTCTGCACGGCACCTCTTACCTCAGCTAGCTCCCAGTAGGCAGTGCAGCTGGGTTAAAGGAAGCTGCCCACCTGCCCTGATCCTATGCCACTCCTGGAAGCTGTGTGCTGTGGCAGGAGTGGGGCTGAGCGATTTGGACTGTGGGAGGAAGCTCAGGGTTGGAGGAGATGAGGGCTGCCTGGCCAATGGGAAAAGCGGGGGCAGAGCAGTACACACAGCGTTGGAGCATAGCTGTTCTTGTTTATATAGTACATTGGCATTCCTACCCTGAGGCTACGTCTACACTGCCCAGTCTTGCGCAAGAACATCTGCAAATGACGTGAGGCAAGGAATATCGCTGTGCCTCATTTGCATACTTAATGAGCCACCATTTTTGGCAAGGGGCTTTTGCGCAAGAAGGAGCAGTCTACACTGCTCCTTCTTGAGCAAAAAACCCCTCTTGCGCAATAGCCATTCTGCCACTTATGCATCATTTGTATATGTTCTTGCACAAGACTGGGCAGTGTAGACATAGCCTTAGGGGCCACAGGGAGCCAACCTAACCCCCGCCGGTGCAGCTGGTGAGCTGACAATCGCAGTTCCAACCCTACGGGGGTCATGGGGTGAAGCAAGACAGACGATACTCAGGGCTCCTGGCCTGCGGCAAGCCTATGTGTCGTGGGCAGGATCTAATTAAGCAGGGGGCTGGAGGTTCTCTACCCCAGTTTTAGTGTACGAGTGTTCTAAGATTTTAATTGTTTAAGATTTACAAAATGAAGAGATAGCTCACCTGTCCATTTTTACCCAGCTCCATTTCAACAATTGCAACAGGGGTATTTATCTGATCGATGTGTCTCGACTGTGATTTCAAATCCACTCTCCAGTTCATGTTTTTCATGGTGTTGTCCCATCTACTTTGATTGATCAGACTCTCTCGAATTTTTGTTCTGTGATTCTTCCAAAATTTTGCTATGGCTGCAGCCTGATCTGCTGTGATACCACCCTGCTTTTTGGTCTGGGCAGTCAGAAAGGCCTCCAGCTGGTTCAAATCCATGTCTGCTGAAGCTATAGACTGGGAGGGAAGGGGAGAAAAAAGAAAGAAAATCCTGCTTTAATGTAAATACAATACTACAAGAGAACACGTGCATGTCTTTTCAGACTTTTATAAAAGTCATTTTGTAAAAAAAAAAAAAAAAAAAAAAATGTCGTGGGCTAATCTAGGAACCCTGCAAACACGGTTGTATGCAATTTTCTGCCTCTTAATTACCCCCAAACTTATACCACAATATTTGGAGCAGCTCAGTCACACACAGAACAGTGGTCAAGAACTAGGTAGCCTGCACCAAAAGAGTGTCTTTGTGGTGAGAGTATGGGAGAGCAGACTGAGATTTTCTGTTAAATATGATGAAGGAGCATGCAGTGTTTCCCCAAGCAAAACTGAGACACATGGAAGCACACCCTGATTGACTATAGTGCCCATTCTTCCACACAGATGGGCATCTACTCCAACCCCATCACTCATGTGAGAACTAAGTATTGTTTTTTATGAAAACAAAGAGAGGGAGACAAGACTAAAAACCTTCAGATTTTAACCTCTATTGACAAGTCTAATTTCCATGTCATTTTATTCTTGTGTGCTTTTCCATGCTCTAGGGGTACAAGCCTGGAAGGGACTAAATAGCACTGATCCCACTAAAATCAGTGGGAGTTGACGTCTCTCAGCAACCACACAAAAGAGGACAATTTGTCTATTCCTTTAAAAAACTGCACTGCCAAAAACCGAACCACCACGCCTACCTGGGCCTAAACAATGCAGAGAAGAAAGGAATAACCATCTTATTCCCAAATTCTAATCCCGACTCAGATATTGACACTGTGTGTGGTTTTGGACAAATCACAAACTGACAGAAGCACGTGCTATCACGTGCTATAACTAGACAACAGAGGATGGACTGTTCGATAGTTGCCCAGTTCTATTAAATTCCCTCTAAAACACCTAGCATTGGCTACTCTCAGAAGGCAGGATACTGGGTTAGATGGAACATTGGTCTGTCCCAGAACGGCTATTCTTGTGCTGCTCAAGCAGGGTACATTACTTTATTACTAACTGGCTCAGTGTAACTGTATTTGATACTCTAAATCTAGATTTATTTTAAATGAGACTGGCTGGCAAAGTATATAAAACATATATGTATAGTCCAGTACAACAAAATACCCCCCCCCCCACACACACACCATAAAAGGTTATGGAGAATAACAAGCAGGATGTCGGCAAGCCACAAAGCACACAGTCAATAGCAGTATATGCTTACATTTAAGCATATTAACAACACACACTCCATTACCTATGTATTCTCCAGAAGGAAAACAAGCTGTTTTTCATAATGGGATTCTGTTTGGTCTATTAGAATATAAAGCATTTTTTTTCTGAACCTTTCACAATTTTTTTAAGGCGGCCCCTATTTGACAGAATCATAGACACTGTCTCTGTGGGTGTGCCAGGGCTAGTGCACCCACATGCAGCCAGCCTCCCGCTGACCCCAGCACCTCCCGCCCCTGGACAGCTCTGTCAATCAACTCCCTGACTCACTCTCTCAGCATCTTCCATCTGCTGCAGATTAGCTGTTCTATTGCATGCAGGAGGTGCTGGGATGAAGGGGGAGGAACACGGTCAGGGTGCACTCAGGGAAGGGGACAGAAGAGGAGGAATGGGGGCAGGAAGGTGTAGAGTGGAGTGGGGGCTGGGAGAAAGGCTGGAGTGGAGGAGGAGCTGAGGCTGAGGACTATTAAAGAAAGTTGGAAGCTGGAGCCTGTGCACAGAATTTGCAAACTAGTTAGTTGCCACGATCTGTGTGACTCAAAGCAAGGGCAATCTACATTAGATGCAACTGCTCTGCTATCACTGCAGTTCAACAGAAGTGTCTGACTAAGGTTTATAAAATGGAAATAAACTTCCAATGTCTGGTACACATCTGTGGTATTTATTTGTTTAATGTGACCACTGTTTGGGCAGACTTTGTTTACTTTTACGGCAGAGATATTAATCTTAGTTAATTCTAATGGTCCTGAAAGTGGAAAAAGAGCATCAGCCTTCATTTGCCAAAACAAAATTGGTTTCAAATGTCTTTTTTCATGCAGAAGACTGTTGGTTAATAGGAAATATTTTCTGTGATTTTATCAATATGAAAAATATTCTGTCTGTGTGTGTGTGTGTGTTACCAGTTATCTGACATTTGTGAAACTTGGAGGGCAAGGAGAATGGAAGAGGCTGAAAAAAATCCTATGTAAACTTGTTTACATCAACACAAATAAAGAGCAAGACCAACTTGAGATACAAGTTCACTGCAGTTCGGCATGCATAAAATCGGCTCCTGCTCAGTTTTCCCCCCAAAGCAGTAAGATATATTACAAAGTAAGAGTCTTGTGGAAAAAACACTATATGATCACATCATTAAAGTCCCTTATCCTAGTGCATATTAGGGATGTAAGTGACTAGTTGACTATTCAATAAGCAAATGCTTATCGGATAATTAACTAATGACTCAACTAGTCACTTCCCCCGCCTTGCTGCTTCTATCAGAGAGCATCCGGGGTTGGAGGGGCACAGATCCCATGCTGGGAGAAGCTGGCTTAAAAGCTGATTCCCCCCAGCACCATCTCCACAGGGAGAAGGGGTAGGAGTGCAGGGGGGAAACTGGCAGCGCTTGTGTCTTTGAAATGTAGCAAGAGCAGGACTCCTGCTACTTTTCAAAAGCAGAAGCGCTGCAGGGAGCCTGTGGTGAGTCTGGGAGGCCTCTTGTACATTTCAAAAGTGAAGCACAGGGCCAGCGGAGGACTCAAATAGTCCCCTGCTGGCTCCACACTTCCGGCAGTGCTTTACTTTTGAAATATATAGAACAACAGCCATACTGGGTCAGACCAAATGTCCATCTAGCCCAGTATCCTGTCTGCCAACAGTGACTAATACCAGCTGCCCCAGAGGGAGGGAACAGAACAGGTAATCATCACATGATCCCTCTCCTGCCACCCATTTCCAGACAAATAGAGGCTAACAGCCATTGATGGATCTAAGCTCCATAAATCTGTCTAGCTCTGTTAAAATCCTCCCGGAGCTCTTGTATATTTCAAAAGCAGGGGAGTGCTTGAGTCCCCCCACTGGCCATGTTCCCTGCAGCACTTTGCCTCTGAAATGTAACAAGAGCCAGCAGGGCTCTTGCTATATTTCAAATGCAGAGGTGCCCTTGTTGAATAATCAGTGCAAATTACATCGACATTTTGGTTAGTTGATTAATCTAAATGTAATGTCCTTAGTGCATATGCACAAGTGGACCACAGGCAGCCTTAATTCTGGACTTCTCACCTTTGAGTGCTTAGCTTTGTAATGTTAACACTTTTTTATATATAATTTTCTATGTTTAAAAAAACAGAAGTAAAAAAAAAAATCCATCCTGTGGAACCATATGGACTCCCTCACAAAGGTCATCAGCTGGACTGGGATCCTTGGCCCCTCAGCACTCACTGACACCATTTAGCTAACAGAACCAGTGGTAGTAGCAGAAGGCTGGAATCTTCTGTGTGTACCTGCCACTAGGAGAGGATGGAGAGAGAGACTTTGCCAATTTCACACGTATTTGCTAGATGGCAAAAGAATGTCGATCCTCAACAGTAATAGGTTCAATAAGGGACCAGGGTCTAGTTGTTATCCTTTCAGCCCTACTCCCGCAGGCCTCTCAGTCCCCTTCTGCCATATCTCATCACATTCCAAGCTCCTCTCTTTACTCCTGCACATGGCAAGTTTCCCTGACCCCTATATTTCACCCTTCTGCAATCCAGGCACAGAAGGGAGTCTCATTCAGCCCTATGGAGTGGAAATCCATCAACTTCACAAAGAAACAAACTCACACAGATCCAAACTGACATAATTTTCCTTTCCAATTGCAAACACATGGACATCATCTCCTATTTATTTTGAGTTTTCATATCCCCTACTCATAACTCTGGCCATCTGAAGAAGTGGGCTGTGCCCACGAAAGCTCATGGTACCATCTACATGTTTTGTTAGTCTTTAAAGTACTACCAGACCATTTGTTGTTTTTTTCTGTAACAGACTAACTTGGCTACCCCCTGAAGCTCCCTGCTCTCAGTTACTTGTCTGGTGCTACCGCAGCTCCTGGCAGTAAGTCCTGCTCAGCCCCTGCTGGCCTGAGATGGAGCATGTTCAGTTTATCTGTCGAGGTGGTACTTTTGAAATCTCATTGACACGTATTTGCAGTGTGGGGATCTAGTTCTGAAGCTGTGCAGAGAACAAACACGATTAACTGAGTTTTTCAATATTTCAAAGTTGGTTTTGTTCCACCTTGGAATAAAAACCAAATCAATTCTATTAAACATACACAGTGCAGATGAACTCTTCAGAGAATTTAGTTGCTAACCTAACAAAACTAGTGTACCGAGAAAGTATAAACTGAGATTTTTAAAGGTTTATATCTTGGCCAAATTTTGGACAGATGTTCATGCAGATAGCAAGAAATATACCCCTGACATTAAGGAGATGCTGATACCTAATTCTGAGTTCCTCATCCAATGCATGGAGGGAGCTAGACCTTCTCAATAAAATTACCATCGAAAACATTGCTTTTTTTTTTTTTTTTAATATGGATAAAACATTTTCCCCAACCTAGTTCTCTGAAATGGGTCACATGTTTTACATAAATTTCTTACCTACCACCCCATTCATATCTCCCCAAAAAAAGAAACAAGAAAATGGAAAAAAAAAAAGAGAGAGAAAGAAATAAACTAAGGGAGACACCTGGCATAGAAATTTTCAATCCAAATATTTTATATTCAGCAAAGTTGTAAATAACTGAAAGCAAAGATCTGATAAAACAGCAGGCAATCTTACCTAGTCTAGGCATGTCACTAGTTAACCGGTAAGCATCACTCTTATCAGGTGATGCTTACTGGTTACCGGTTAACCAGCAGCCCAGCTGGGCTGGAGCAGCCCTCTGCCTGCATCAGGTGGGGGGGCCCACTGGGCCATGCTGCAGGCTAGGATTGCCTGCCCTCCAGTGGTGTGGTAGGCCCAGTCAGAGAAG